TTGTCATGTGTTTACAGGCAATTTATAATTTGTTCTGTAAATGGTTTTTACATGGCCTTGCCCATTGAGATATTAGCAACACTCTTATAACAGCAAATATAGCAAATTGATTTCCTATGCAGTTTCTTATTGCAAACGTTCACAGAGGCATAGCATTAAAAAAAAACCCACCTAAATATAAAGTTAAGAAAATGAAGAGTGAATTTGATGTGATGTGAACATATAGTGTCAGAAGTTGAGCTTGGCCCGAGGAGGATTCCTATTGAGATCAGTATTGATTTCAATGAGAAGTCCACTCAAGGAAGCACAAGATGAGGAATGGCCAGGAAGAGAGCAGAACTCTACATCAGAGAACTCTATTCTACAGATGAACTTGCACAAGTGCTCCCCAAATATATCCATTTATTTACTCACAAAATATGTGTGGAGGGCCCACTCTGAGCCAGGCCCTGTGCCAGATGCTGGGCTGTGGCAGCCAGCAAAAGAGGCCAGGTGAGGTTAGGTGCTCGCCCACATGAAGCCTACATTCCAGCGTCAGCGATTGCTAGGGCATTGTTTACAGGAATAAAACACACACTGGAAACAACCAAAGTGCCCTGTGATAGAGGACTGGATAAAGAAGATGTGTTACATCTACACAATGGAATACTACTCAGCCAGAAGAAAGGACAAAATAACGTCATTTACAACAACATGGATAGACCTTGAGAACATTGTGCTAAGTGAAATCAGTCAGACAGCAAAAGCTAAGAACCATATGGTTTCACTCATATTTGGGATATAAAACTGAAACTTATGAACACAAACAGCAGTGTGGCAGTTGCCAGCAGGAAGGGTGTAGGGAGAAGAGAGTCCTAATATGAGGTGACAGGAGAAGATTTGACTTTGGGTGGAGGGCACATGGTGCTATATACAGATTTTGTAACTTAGAAATCCACACGTGAAACCTATATGTTCATGTTGACCAATGTCACCCCAATAAAATTTAATTTAAAAAACAACACTGAAAGCAACCTGAATATACACCACTAGCAACAAATTCTTCAATTGTAGTGAAATACTATGTAAATTTGTATACATACTCACTATAAACATCCTATGTTCAAAGGAAAAATAATTTAGAGAACAGTATATATAGTATGAGCCCAGCTTTTATCTTATACACTTCAGAACTGCTTACTGTACCATGAGCGTGGTGTAAATTTTGTTAGAATAAAAAGGAAAGTAAGGGATAGGTCTCAACCTGGTAGCAAAAACAAAATAGTTCTCCTCTGACTTCAGGAGGACAGAACTTGTCTCAACTTCCCAAGTAAACAAACAAGTTCAAATGACTAAACCAACTAAACTACCGAATCCAAACTACTAAATACCATGGTGGGGGTGGGCTGTTGTTTTTTGTTGTTTAATTTGGTTTGTTGGTCTGCCTACAAAATTGTTTAAAACTTTGTTAACTCCACAAAGTGGGTGTGAGAGAGGCACTCTCATATTCTGTTGGTGGAAAGGGGTATGGTTCTTGTATTCATTTTAACTGGTTTTCACAATTGATTTTTTTAAAAATATATTTTATTGATTTTTTACAGAGAGGAAGGGAGAGAGATAGAGAGTTAGAAACATCGATGAGAGAGAAACATCGATCAGCTGCCTCCTGCACATCTCCCACCGGAGATGTGGCCGCAACCCAGTTACATGCCCCCGACCGGAATCGAACCCGGGACCCTCCAGTCCGCAAGCCGACGCTCTATCCACTGAGCCAAACCGGTTTCGGCCACAATTGATTTTTTTAAAAATCTAGTCCTTCACTTTTAATTTTGTCTATAGCAATTTGGCAACATGTATAAATAGCCTTAACAAGTGTTCCTATCATTTCACCCAGCAAATATAATGCAGTCACAAACATAAATACTAATATATATGAGCACTTATGGCGGGATATTTTTCAACATGGCTATGAACCTATAAGCAAAGTTACCAATGTTGCAAACAGTTAGCTGACATATGCCTGAAAGTCAGAATCCAAATAATATCTGGCATACTTGATTTTACTATAGGAGTTATAAATTATTTAGTGTTTTTCCATGAAGATGTCTGTCTCAGGAACTCCCATGTAATACATACATGTAATAAATCCTTTATTTCTGGCATTATAAAATCACTCTTGCCCTGTAGTCTCTAAGTAAATGTTGAGCAACATTTTATGGATATTATTTTGAAGGGGTCCCAAATCACTGGCCCATAACTGGGCACACATCTGACTCAGTCCATCCTTGGAGAGACAGCTGGCCTTATATGGAGAAGTCACCAGGAAATAAGGCTACCTCAGGACGTCCCAGAGAGAGTGTGGTTATGCAATACCTGACCCGCATTCTTCTCTATTAGCCTCTGCTTCATTTGGTGCATAGTTCAGCCTGGCTGCCACATCCCTTTCTCAACATAACAACTCTCAATATGCTTTTGACTTCTGCCTCATTGCCCACTCTCTTGATCTCTCAATCTCCCAACTCCACATTCCTTCCAGAGAAGAGGTGTCTAGCTGGCTCAGCTGAATTGTATAAGTCAATCCCATAAGTCATTCAATCGAGAGAGGGACAATTATTGACACAGGTCTAATCAGCAAGGCCACGGGAGGGCAGGGTTAGGCTACAAGCAAGGGGAGGCAGGGGTAGACATGTCTGAGCCCGCTGTGTATCCTTTGGATAATCATCCTTAAATATTGCTCTGTTGGCTCAGGTTGTCAAACTTGAGCAGAATGGGACAGCTTTGTGTCAGGGAGCAGCTATGGCAGCCTGACTTGGAATGTCAAGACCAAGGTGAGATAAGAAGGGCGTCCAAACAAGGGGCAGCAATGGTAGTTTGGTTTATACCAGGCACCTGGTTCACACCAGACCAAGGAGGGTGCCATGCAGCACCTGGCATGGGATGTCAATAATAGAGGCGACAAGGGCCTCTGCAAGGGAGACTGCAATGGGGCAGTTCAACATGGAGTAAAGAGGGCATCCCTGTGGCCTGGCATGGGGTTCAGTGCCCAGTGGGGATGAGGAGGATGTCCACACAGAGGACAAAGATACAACTGATGAATAATCACATACTGGGGGCATTAATCAAATGAATAATATATGTTGAGGATCAGGTTCTCACTGTCAGTGTTACAAGTATGAAAAGGAAGAAAATTAGAATGAACCCTGTGATCCTGCCAAAAAATGCATAGCCTGAATCTAATCATGAGGAAACAACAGAAAAAAATCAAAACTGAGGGACATTCATCGGCAGGGTGCTGGTAAACGTTTAACAACTACCTCTCCGAAAGGCAACAATAAAATAATTTTATGTGTAGCATTTCCATATATAAGAACCTCGTGATGGCCATTTCAACATGACCTCAGCCTGCCTGCAAAATTCAATGAAATTGAGCAATCAGCTCTCATGATCCAGTAGGAGCCAGCTCCAGCGTATCACCGTGTACAGAATTATTGGCAGTACTCAACAGTGTCAAGGTCATGAAAGTTAAGGAAATACTGGGTAATGTTCCAGCTTAAAGGTAGCGCAGGAGTGATGACAACTAAATGCAACATATGAGCCTCAATTGGATCTTTAGCTCTAAAGGATATTATGAGGACACGTGCAAAACTTGAATGGGGTCTGTGGACTAGATACATCAGTGTTAATGTAGTAGGCTAAATGGTGGCCCTCAAAAGACATGTCTACATCCTAACTTCCTGAACCTGTGTACGTGAATCACTCCTCCACAATTCAGGTTCCAGCGCCCATTGCACAGGGAAAGCCAAAACATTGAGACACTGATGTTTCTTTGATTTGGACAAAACAAGAGGACAGGAGAGCAAGATTTCTCAAATCCATCTCTCTCAAAAAGCAAACAGAATGAGTGTTGATGCAGCTAGGGGATTTGGGAGGGGGTGTTTCAGGGAACTGGGAGAGAAGTCTGTGTTTCTTGAGGTATAGATGACGCTTATATGTATCAGACTCCTGGGCGTCAGCAGCTGCTCACAGCTAACTTGAAGACATTCTTTCCCTTCACAAAACAAACCCATAAAAATTTCTTTATGACTCTTAAGGTATCTCCTCCTGCTTGACAACAAGACACACTATTAGCAGCTTCTGACTAACTTCATGAGAACAAAAGGAGTTGAGCAGAAGGAGTGGTTAACAGAAGAACAAAGACCTAATTAAGAATTAAACTATTTAATTCTAGCTGCCAAAAATAGTAGAGGCATTAAAATCACTGATCTGCTGCCTCCTGCACAGCCCACATTGGGGAGCAAGCCCTGACTGGGAATACGAGCCATGACCTCCAGCTTCATTGATCAATGCTCAACCACTGAGCCACACCCAGCCGGGCCGGAAGAGAGCTCTTGCCAAACCCTTGGATCCCCAGATATCTTGGTTGGAGGTAAAAAAGTTAGCAGCTGTGGGATTACATGGCTCTTTTTTAGTGCCTCTTATGTACCAACCTTACTAAAAATCTTACCAATCCACTTCTGCAACCCTACTCAGTTATTTGGATCAGCCCTAGGTTAGTCAGTAGCCCAGTGGTACCAGGTAGTCTGGTTGGGCATTCTGTGTAGCACACCATTAGAGTCAAATCCCAAGCTAAAACTCATGATTTAGGATGGAGTTGGATTGGTTCCCTAAAGAGATTTGTTTGTATATTTTAAAGAGTTCTTTATATATTAAGGTTGGAAAAGAAATTTTTTTCTTTTTATAAATTCAACACAGCATGATCATCTCTATAGGGAGTAGAGAGAAATTGTTTCTTTGTTACTAATGTTGTGGCTCCACCCCATAACAAAGACACAGAATTTCCAGAGGATGAGGCCCAGAAATCAGGATTTTAAAAAAAGATTCCCAGGTGATTCTAATGTGCAGCCAAGGTTGAGAACCACTGCTTTAAAGGGTTAAGGGACACCATAGAAGTTAAAACACCTGCTACAGATAAAGCCAAAATCAGCTGAATCACCTCAGTAACCTATTTATTTATTCTTTAGGGAAAATGGCTAGTCCACTTGTTGCTCCCTATTCTGCAAGCAAGTTTGCTCTTGATGGGTTTTTCTCCTCCATCAGGACGGAATATTCAGTGGCCAAGGTCAATGTGTCAATCACTCTCTGTATCCTCGGCCTCATAGACACAGGTAAGGTCAAGAGATTGGAATAAATGGCCTGTAGATGGATCGTCTGTCTTACCATTGTGGGTAGAGGGTGCTGAACTCCCCGATTCATGTGTAGTGACCTGAAAGCCAGTGAGAGCACTAAGTCTTCATTTAATGAAGTGCTCTTGTCACTAATGGAGCCTCTGACTACTCTTTGACCCCTTTCCATTCTTACCCCCAAATATGCTGAGTGACACCACACGCATCACTTGATCCTATTCTGAGCTCCTTATATCCTCTTGGATTCGAAATGGCCATTACTTTCCTATATGAGACATATCAAATACAAGTTTGTTTTTCTTAATAACATCACTAGTAATAAGACATATCAAATATGAACCCTTTGATATGATTCACTGAAAAAGACACAGCAGTGTGTTCATAGTATTCTTGCCAAAAATGCATCATCTCATTCCAATAAGAGAACAATGGACCCATGAGAGACAAGGAAAGACTGAAGAACTATCACAGATTAGATGGGAAATAAGAAAAATTTAATAGTAAGTGAAATCCTGGATAAGATCTTAGATCATAAAAAAAGGCATTAGTGAAAAAATAAGGCCTGTGGTTTAGTTAGTAATAGTGTTCCAATTATACCACACCTGTTCTTGATAATTGTGCAATGGCTATGTATGATATTATGATTAGGGGAAGCAGAGCGAACAATGTAAGGGAATACTTTGCATAATTTTTCTAAGTTTTCGTAAGCCCAAGTGCAAGTTTATCTAAAACATGTGGCAAATGTGATAAGAAAACTTTATTTAAAGAGCAATTGATTAAACTGAGTAGTAGTTACAGAACAAGAGAGAAAGACAGAGATGCACAGTGAAACAAGGAAGAGATAAAGAGAGAGAAGCTGTGCAAAAAGAACATGAAAAGCTGGAAGGTGAGAGAAGATAATAGAGATTCCTTCTAAGTGAAAGTGGATAATGTTGACAAGGGAGCAAAGGCCTGAATTCTTGTCCTCTTCCTTGGGGAGTCATCATGCAGCACTCTTTGTGACTTCTCTCTGTTCTGCTCGCCCACATTACTTCCTCACCCCCAATCAAAACACCCACGAAGAACATGATTCAAATCTCTCAACTAATTAGCTCTAACTGCCCCCACAAATCTTCATCCAGGAAGACAGGGACTGTATGAAGCCTCTCTTTGCCCAACAGACCCTAAGCCTACCCAGTCTTCTCCATGCGTTCCCGATAGGGCCCATGGGCCTTTCAGAGTAAGCACTGGAAAACAGCCCCTATCACCTAAGTTGTTGGGGTCAGCAGGCCTTTCAATGATGTAGGCTCTACTAGTCTTGGATAACCCCCCACTTCTCTTGTCATTTAACAGACTCAGCCATGAAGGCAGTGTCTGGGATACTCAACGCCGAGGCAGCTCCAAAGAAAGACTGTGCCCTGGAGATCATCAAAGGGGGAGCTCTACGCCAAGAGGAAGTGTATTATGGCAAATTAGGATGGGCCAGTCTCCTGCTGAAAAATCCAGGGAGGAGGATCCTGGAATTCCTCAGCCTAAGAAATTATAATATGGAAAAATTTATAAACAACTAGAAATGTCCTTAGGGCTGGGCAGGATAAGGGAGCTTGGGACTGTTCTGCCAGATGTTTATCTAAGCTCCATCCATGAAGGCATCGACCCAGAGAGATAAATGAGTCAGTCTCCCCAGAGAGTTGCAAGCCATGCCTCATGTCTCCCAGTTTGAAGGAGTTCGTCTAACACTTGCACAGTGAACATGTGATTATACCAAATGTCATGAAGTTGCATTATCTATGAGGTTTTTGTTGTTTGTTTGCGTGTTTGTTTGTTTTTGTTTTTGCTGAATCCCTTCCCCTTTTTCATTCAGCCCTGCAGCCCCTCTCCCCTCTAATAGCTGTCAGTCTGTTGTCTGTCTATGAGTCTGTTTCTATTTTGTTTGTTAGTTTATTTTGTTCATTAGATTCCACATATGAGTGAAATCATATGGTATTTGTCTTTCTTTAACTGGCTTATTTCACTTAGCTAATACTCTCTCTAGGCCCATCCATGCTGTTACAAAAGGTAAGATTTCCTTCTTTTCTATGGGAACCTGCAGTTGTGAAATTGTTAGTCACCATAGGTATAAAATTATAAGATAATTATATCAAATTTACCTCATCCAATCTAATAAAAGAGAAACATGAAAATTGACCACACCTCCACTACGACCCAAGCCATGCCCACCAGCCAATCAGAGCGACTATATGCAAATTAACCCAACCAAGATGGCAGCCGGCAGCCATGGAGCTGGAGCAAGCAGGAGGCTTGGTTGCCCCGGCGATGGAGGAAGCCAAGCTTCCTGCCTGTCCTGGCCAGCTGTGGCCTTCACTCAAGGCAACCAAGTTTCAATTATAGAAGATAAATAAGTCCCAGATACCTGCTTCCAGCCAGCCTCCACTGGGAGCTTGGGTGGCTGGGGGCTATGACCAGCCTGCAAACAGCCATCAGCCACTCACCCAGGCTGGCCAGGCACCCCAGCGGGGACCCCCACTCTGAAGGGGCTGTGGCCAGCCTGAAAATGGCCCTCAGCCCCTCACCCAGGCTGGCCAGGCACCCCAGTGGGACCCCCACCCTAATCCGGGACACCCTTCAGGGAAAACTAGCCGACCCCCACCCGTGCACCAGGCCTCTAACCTACATAATAAAAGGGCAATATGCAAATTGACCCTAACAGCAGAACAACTGGGAATGACTGGTCACTATGACACACACTGACCACCAGGGGTCAGACGCTCAATGCAGGACCTGCCCCCTGGTGGTCAGTGCGCTTCCACAGGGGAAGCTCTGCTCAGCCACAAGCCAGGCTGACGGCTGCCAGTACAGCGGTGGTGGTGGGAGCCTCTCCCACCTCCTCAGCAGCGCTAAGGATGTTCAGCTGCAGCTTAGGCCTGCTCCCTGCTGGCAAGTGGACATCCCTCGAGGGTTCCCGGGCTGCCAGAGGGATGTCTGACTGCCATCTTAGGCCCAATCTCCCGGGGAGCGGGTCTAAGCCAGCAGGTGGTCATCCCCAGAGGTGTCCCAGACAGAGAGAAAGCACAGGCTGGGCTGAGGGACCCCCCCCCCCGAGTGCACAAATTTTTGTGCACTGGGCCTCTAGTATATAATAATGTTCTGATGCTTAGTATAATAAATTGTAATAGAGGTCACATAAATTTTCCAAATCATAACTGGTAGCTGTAACTTTAGTCCATTCAGTATGATGCCTTTAAAACCATAACCTATACAAGTAAAAGTTATCAGTGTTCATTTCTTATTTTATGGTTTGAATCTTTTCGTTGTTTTTGAGTTGAAGAAATCACCCTACTCTTCATTTAATTGACATAATGTCTTCACTAGTCTGTATATTTCAGATACTTTTTCTATTCTTTGTTATTGCTCTTCTAGGAAGGAGGACACCTGGGTCTGAATCACTAGGGAAAACCCCCAGAGTGGAGGTCTCTAGAAACTTGAGCCACACAGCCTGTGCTCATCTGTTGCACTCAGAATGCATAAAGCATCAATGCTTTACATGTGAATGCTCAACTGTTTTTTAGACATTTGGAGAGAAGGAGTTGGAGTTCAAGTCCTGCCATTCACACATTTAATCATTCCTTCGGTCAACAAATATTTATCCAACACTTGCCAGGTATCACCTGAATATAACCAAATAGAAAACAAGACTTCAGTTACATTAACAACTCAACAAAACCTTCTTTAGTCAGGCCCCAAACTTGGAAGAGATGGCGAATTGGATCATTTTAATAGAGCTTAATAACAAAGGGATTATTTACAAAAAGTGTGGGCAAGACCAAAGGGCAATCACAAAAGATAACTTGTATATCAGGGCCAGTTGCGGCTGTTTTCAAGCCTGGGCCCGCCCCGGTAGGGACAAGAGGAGAGAACTGTTATGAAAACCCAGAGATAAAAAGAACTGTTTGGAGAGTGCCGTGTGGCAGGAGCTATGCCATTCAGTTAAGGAATGCAACCAGCCCGCTAAGGATCTTGAAGGAGGAACCTGGAGGAATAAATACCCGAGGCTCGCTCTCATCACTCCGATGTCTTGCTGATATTTCCTATTAACTGAACAGAGGTGCAAGGGAGCAGATTGATATAAACTAAACAGGTCAGCTTTCCCCATGCACAGAGCAGGGTGGAAAAGGATGGAGAGTGTTCTGGAGGGACAGGCTGTATATCCAGCATGAACTCAATGCTCCCAAACGTAGTGCTTCCATGGTTAGGGATTCCAGGGCCCCAAAAAATAGGTCTGGGAACTGAAATCATTGAGGGCTCCTGGTTAACCGTCTTCATTAGCATGACATTACAATTCATTGTCTTTATCAGCACGACTTTACTACTCCAAGCAACTTTTGTCCAGAAAGATAAATGTTGCAAATCCATTCTAAATCCTCAACTTTTCAACAGACAACATAAAATGACCGTTAACCTTTTACGAGTCTTTGGAACCCTCATTTCACTATGCTCACCAATCCCAAACCACTGCATCATGATCCTTACCCAATCCTAACCAAGCCACCACACTGAATACCCACCTGAAACGAGATCCAATACTCATCAATTCCCCAACTTTGCTCTCCCTATTCTTTTTTTAAAATATATATTTTTATTGATTTCAGTGAGGAAGGGAGAGGGAGGGAGAGAGAGAAACATCAGTGATGACAGAGAATCATTGATCGGCTGCCTCCTGCATGCCCCACACCAGGGATTGAGCCCACAACCTGAGCATGTGCCGTGACCAGGGATGGAACTGTAACCTCATGGCTCATAAATCAATGCTCAACCACTAAGCCACGCTGGCCAGCATTTCTTTGTGAATTCCAAAAGCCATTCCACTCTTACTGAGTGAGCACTGTTGCATGTCCCTAATATTTCGGATGTAAGAAGGAAGATTGAATTTACATTCATTCAGTGTGCGTCATCTAACTCCAAAGACCTCCCTTGGCCATGTCTCTTTCAACGTGCTTCCTCCTGGCTCCACCTCCAATATGACTCTGGCCCCCAGGGAATTCAGCTCCCTTTGGCCTTCCCCTCCCCTCATTCATCATGGATTCTGACTCTAACTTGAAGCCATCCAGCAATTTTTTAAGAAAACAAAGATATTCTCTTACTGCAAGAACCTGTTAGGAAAACAAAAAATTTTCTAAACATTACATTCGTGGTTAGGGCTAACCCTAACCAAAAAATTAAAAACCTTAATGTCTACCCATGGGACATCAATGTTATGAAATCACTATATAGTGATAGAAAGGGATGAGGTGGATTTCTATGTACTCACAGGCAAGGATCTTCATGACATATTGTTAAGTATATAAAACAAGGTGCTTACAAATATGGATACTATAATCCATTTTTTGTTAAAATATTATACACATACATGCCTTTCCCTTACATGTGTGTTCAGTATAAATCAGCAGCTCCCTGATTCTGCTCACTTGTCACTCATTGGACTGCATGGGGGAAGTAAGAGAAGCTATGAAACAATATTGATGTTGTTATAAATGAAACCTTTGATCTTTCCAAGGATGTGTTGGTGTATATTTTTCTCCAGAAAAAGAGAAGGAAAGGGGAGAAGCCCTGATGTATGATATTTGCTATGCCCATGCTGTAAACACTCTCACCACGGTTGATTTCAAGCCACCAGTTGACATCACCCAGTGTTTATGAGAAGAGATATGCACCAGCAGCTCTCTCAAACCTGCTCAGCCGGCTCCAGCAGCACCACCCTGACTTTCTCTTTCCACATTCTTAACATAAGTAGCTGTTCTTAAAGGCCCAGCACAATGCCTCTTTCCTCCAAGGACTTGAAAGTAGCAGAACAGCTTATTTCTACCACTGCCAGGGAAAGAGGGGGAACAAGGGCTCCCAAAGAGGAGATATTCACATTCTTCAACTCTCAAGGTGTCCACGTCTTGCATGAAGTCAACAGCCTTAACTAAAGGGTCAACGAGTTGACCTTCATGTTTGCTAGCACTGCACTCCTCTGGGAGCAACCGAAAAACCCACTGTCAGGGGCTGAAGCAAGTAGACATTTATTTTCCTCCCATCACAAAACGTCTGCGAAGGACAGACCAGGGCCTTACGGAGCCGGCTCCTTCTGTCTTTCCACTCAGCTATCCATCCTGTTCCTTGTCACTGTGTGGTCACAGGACATCTGCTCCACCCTCAGCATCACGCTGTGTTTCGGGCAAGAAAAACAGGAATATGAAGGGCGAAAGGTGCACGTGGGCATGCCAGATGAATCTGACCCTGAGGAAGAGCCCACTGGGAGGCCCTCTCCAGGACTTCAGCTCACATCCCATGGGCTAGACACACATCTTGTGGTCGCCTCTCCCTTTAAGGGATGTTGAAAAATAGAGCACATTCCCACCCCCAAAAAAACGGGGTTCTGTTAGGCCACCAGAAGTATTTGTCACAAACATAAGTCACAACAGAAACAAAGACGTGGAGAACAAGGACACAAGTCCTAAGATGTCAGGCTCCTAACCATGGTGACAGGAGCCACTCCACTGACCACCTGCAAGGTCCTAATATGACACAACACGCACGCGCGCGCGCACACACACACACACACACACACACACACACGCAGAAGAACATCCTAGGCTTCTCATCTCTCCCAATGTCCCTCTAAGAAACCCTGATCCCATCTCCTCAGGAAAGATGCATGATCGGCCCTAGAGACCAGGTAGCAGGGAGCCCTGAGGTGGCGCAGGGCACAGTCATCCCAAATGTTGGCGAGCCCCCTCTCAAGGACAATTAGGTTCCACCTCGCCGCT